GTCTAAGAAGCTTGTCATTCATGGTGAGAGAGGAAAGTGAAGACTGTAGGCTCACTGTCTTTGAGATAACTAACCCTGCACAGATAATAAAAATGAAATGATCCTTGTAATCACCATGTTAAAAACAGAAAATTAAGACCCAGCCCTGCGATGAATTTGATATTTTCAGAGTGTAATTATCTCATGCACCTGAGATAAAAAGGGGCTGCCAGAGCATGACAAAAGAGCTGATTTACTAAATAATAACCTACCTGCCCTGGAAGTGGAGGTTTCTTGATGAACAGACCCATTTGTTATTGGTGTTAACAGATCTGGTAGGAAATGAAGGCCTCTAATAACATATCATTACTGTAAGCAATGATGTTTGCTCTGAGAATAAGTATGATTGTGCTATGCATGCACCTATTAACCCACAAATAATTACAAATACCCAGATACCTCTTTATTCAGTGGTCTTCCTGGACTGTTCACTATTCACAATGTAACAAATACAATGGCATTTAATTGCTGTGCAAAGCTAAAATAGATGTCTTAGAAAGATCCAGAAAACTGACCAAGATTAGGTAGCTTGAAATTCAGCATCCATTCAGACTATTTTAAAAATTCATCTTTATATTGGTTTGATCTTATTTGTTTTTATTCACCATGTATTTTTTTTAACAATCTGGTTATATAATGTCTCATCCCAGTGGAGATTAGAACCAAGAAATTCGACATAGCACAGTTCCAGACAGAGATATTCACAGCACATTGACACAAGAGAAACTATGAACTGAAGGTTCTCCCTGATGGAGACAGAGGCTATGCAATAAGTCATACATACATTTAGTCCAGTCATTTAATGTAGGAAAAATGACTCTATTACACTGCAACATGCCCAATGTATTGCAGGTAAAAATGTGATAGCATAAATTAATTATTATATCATCACATTGAGCATACCAGTGTGACCTTTTGCTTTGGCAACAAAGTATTTGACACAGATGTTGCTCATGGTCTCAGTCCATGGGGCTTGCTTCTAGTGATTCTGGGTCCAGGGTGAGGTGGGTGTCACGGCAACAAGCACATGTGCCATAGACTACCCCTTTCACATGGAAAGAAACAAAGAGATGGAAAGAGACCAAGTACCTGATAATTTCATCACAGTGAGGTCCCATTTTCTGAAGTTTCTTATACTGCCAGCTAAGGACTACATCTTCCACATATGAGCTATGGAGGACATCTCATATTCAAATCATAACTCTAAGTCATTAAGCAAGCCATTTTTTAAAATAAAGAATTTCTGGGCGCTTTTTTTTTTCCGTTCATTGCATCAAGAAACTGACTTTTGTAGAGTGTAACTGACAGACTTGTCTAAGTGCAAACTGAGCAGAATATAGAAGTAAAACGACATATTAATGGATTTTGAAAACCCACCTACGGGAAGGTATAAATAAGCATATGGAGCATATGGAATATATTTTTAATAGCATAAATAGAGCAAATAAGCTATATGAGAGGCAGGGTTAGAGTGTTAGTAATCAAAGAACTAGGTAAAATTGTGCAGAGAAAATAATTTTAAAGAACCAGTTTCTTCAGAAAAGCTATGCCAGATGCTATGCCAGATCTACCTGCCCCACCAAAAACATCTCCACTGTGGTACAAAACAGATAATGCTTACTGAGTGCATTCACTCTTACAATGCCTTTGCGTAGTAGATGGAAGCACCCGATAAGGATGTGATACTCCAAATTCATGTTCATGATTACACTTGTGATTTTGCCAACATAGAAAAAGCTGGACACTATGGGTACATGAGGACATTAACACAACAACACAGCAAATTTTGCCTTTTTGGTATGTTTTTAGCATTCTCAATGCCAAGCACGTGACAATACCTTTTGTGGGTTTGTTCGCTTGTTTTCCCAGCACTGGATCATTTAAGTGTTTTTACTTGACTGTTGTTTGGCATCTAAAGCAAAAAAACTTTAAAACCTTAGAGGAAAAAGAAAAAAAAATTTGGCTGGGTGAGTTATTTTAATAGTCTGTCAACCAAGATCAATATAAAGAGTAAGTGGGTTCAGACTGGCAAGTAATACTGATTAATTATTATTCAAAGACAAAGAGGCTCTCTGGTAAAGATTTCTTTCAGCCTTTAAAGTATCAGTTTAGGTGGCTTTGTCTAATATCACTAGATGACAGATGCTGCCTGTCTAGTTGTAAGCCAAACTGATGATCTATTATTTATAACATCATCATCTTTATAAGTTTACAGTTCTTAATATGGAGTAGATACAAACCCAATGACCTGTTTTCTCATGTCTGAAGTATTACTATGGACATATATGACCAGTGGAGGTCTGAATGTGTTTCTACTTCCTGAGATAAATGTGAAGGAGATATTGATGCTTCTAGTGAGACAGCCGCTTTCTGTGTCACATGGCCATGCACAATCCAACTTCCCATGGAGAGTCTGACTAATACTGACTCTGATATTACAGGTGGTTGCTGTAAGAGCAGAACTGTAGTTTCCTTGGAAAATTAATTCATAGATGGATCCCAACACCCAACTGCCACAATATCCAAAACTAATGGCAAGTGTGTATTAAATAAGGCATGAGTCAGCCAAAAAAAAAAAAAAAAAAAAAAAAAAAAAGAGCATATTATCCAAGTCTTAATGCTTTGGCAGCCTAGAGTTTTCCTAATAGGGAGAGTGAAAAATCCATTTTTAAATTAAAATTCACAGTTACTTTCTCTTTTACATGCAAGGGAGATATGCAAGTCTATCTATCATACACCGAAAACATTTTAGTCAAAATTAAATCCTTCATGTTTGTTTAACTAAACAATGAAGGGAAAGGTTCTATTAAGGCTGGGAAGTTGCTCATAAAAATGTAATTTTCCTGAACTTTCTCCTCCGAGATACCTGCCTTGTGGCTTGTCTGTCATCCAGTCCCTGGGAGAGGAGAGAGAGTAAAATGGGTAGTTGAAGAAATAAAACAAATGCAAACCATGATTCTAGAAAATACTTTTACTGGGTAGCAGAGCTATTTCAAACAGAAAGTCTTACCTGTGGGGGCAGGGGATGGGGGTGTTCATATGGTTTGGAAAATTCTTCACCATATACTTATGCAGTGAGTCACAACACAGAAGCAAGAAAAAAACTAAACCTAAATAAGCTGGTAACTACTCTATGCCTTGGCCAATGGAGAATTTACCTCCCTCCCCCCCTTCTCTTGATTTGGGCTGCATCTTGGGTTGTACTATAGTCATCTTCATTGCAGATTTAATCCAAGCTATTTATAAACAACACATGCTTAATATATGATAAAGGAGACCCACCTCCCTTGTGGGTGACAATATCCTCGTATACAAAGTTTTAAAAGGCAACCCTCAGTAACAGGGCTTGGTGTAAGTGCAGTCCCAACAAATAAAACACCATTTGGCTATCAAAACAGTTGCAGGGCTTGCATGACCTAGTCCACACCCTCATAAGTGTCTTGCTCAGTGCTGGGAAAAGAGACAGGCTCAAGAAGGCAAAACGAAAATCTATCCACATTTCACTAGCACCTCCTAGGGGCCACGTGGGGATATGAGACTAGGAGGTGGGTATCCAGGCAGCAATTCAGAGCTGTTCCTTTCAACTCTCCTACACAGTAGACAACCAAGAACGCGAAATGTTTTGTAGAGTAGTTTAAGGACTCAACACAGTCTTTAAGGGTTTAAACAAAAGGTACACGAGATTTGGAGCTCTTAAAGCATATCGTTAAGCCGGACTGCAAACTCCATGGAAGATAAAGACACTGTTTTAAGAGCAAAGCTTTGCTATGATACTCACGCACCCAGGGGTTGGGGGACTGGGGGTTGGGGGGGGGTACGCACTCACTCAAGTATTCCTTTATAAACTGTCAGGATGCAGGCGAGGGTAAAGTCGAAGCTGATTTTTGAGGGTCTGCAATACTCTTGACAGGTTGCTGGGGGAGGAGGCCTGGGAGGCGCTGGCGCGAGGGCAGATCTGAGTGAGAGTCTGTAGGAGTTACAGTTCCAGAGAATTCATTACTCTCTAATTGTTCTGATTTTACATGAGCAGAGCATGCCGGGCGGCAATGGAGAGAGAGATTGAGGGCTGACAAGGCAAGAGAAACCAGCGGCTGTCCTCCCCACTTCCTCCCTCCCCCCGCCCCGCGTCTAATCCCCAGAGAAGTCCAGGAGCTTTCTGTAAGCAATTCACCATCATTCGGGCGGAGAAACAGCCCAGTCAGAGGAGACATCGCTACACTAGAGCGCCTCTAAATCTTGCTTGGCTACCGAGTGCGGGTCCCGGGACACTATCGCTGTTTAATTAGCGGATTATCCGAGAGTTGCAGTAGAATGCTCTGCGGTTTTGACGGTCTACCTGCAGGACAAGGGATAGAGATAGACGCACCCCAGTAACCATTCATTCCCTCTCTGACACAGACGTCTTTCTTAGGCACTGGCACCTCTCAAGCGCCTACAGGAACGTGTACAGCCGGCCTCCACCCTGGAAAGAAACTGCGAACCCACTAGGAAGCTTTTTGCCCACGGCCAGACTGCAAACAGGCAGCGGCATGGCGGTTGAGCTTTCCACCTGTTGCTGTCCCCGCTGGGCCGCGACTTCCTCCTCCCCAGCCCTGAGCTGGACTCTCAGACCAGGCTAGGAAGCTGGAGGAGGCAGAGGAAGAAGCCACCTCAGGTTCCCTGGCTGGTGGAGCTAGGAGCCGCGGGTGTAAGGATCCTCCTCCCCCTCCTGGTGGCGGTTCCCTGGGCTGGTGGCGAAGTCAGGTGCACTCCGATTGGCCAGCAGTGGGTAGGGGGCGGAGCCAAGAAGGCCGGTTATCACAAGGACCGCCTCAAAAGCTCCCAGGCTATCGCAGAGCGCACTGGAGCCCTGGCCAGCACACAGCCTTCCCGGCACCGCCAAGCAGGGTCTTGGAAATTCTCACTTGCTTCGGCTCACTCTCCTTTAAAAAAAAAAAAAAAAAAAAAAAGAAAGAAAGAAAGAAAAAAAAAAAAAAGAAAGAAAGAAAGAAAAAAGAAAAAGAGAGGGAGAGAAAAAAACCCCACTGGATCTTACATGCTTCTGTAACTCTCACTTCTACTTCATGTCCCCATGATCCTGTGCCAGCAACAGGTAAGGGCCTCTGTGGTTTTATTTATTTTCCTCCTCTTGTCCCTGTATGTCTAGGGCAGTCCCCTACCCCTGTTGTCTCCGCTGTTCTGGAGGTGCCCATCTGTCAAGCTGCTTCCCTTTGCAAGCTTAGGAGTCCCAGCTCATTGCCTATATAGTTTGTGTGCGCACCAGAACATCCTCAGAGCTAAAAATACTGAGACATGCTTGGAAGAGTTGAGCAATAGAAACAGATTTCTCTGCAGCATCTGTTTGTGCTCATAACTTCCAATGCACCAGCTGTAGTGAGATACTGGGTTGAGAGGCAAGGGAGAGTCTGAAACAGACTCTTCCTCTTACTGGGGGGTTCCAGGGAGGAAGAGAAGGTAACTGGGGATTGGAGGATCCTCTTGAGCTCTTGAGCGCTGGAATCAGCACTTATTCTAGTTCCTTGGGGCGTGTGTGTGTGTGTGTGTGTGTGTGTGAGTGTGTATGTGTGTGTGTGTGTGTGAGATGGGGGTGGGGGGGATCCTTACTTCAAGTACAGCACAGTGTTTCAGAGTCAGAGTTGCAGAGTGAGCATTTCAAGTCTTATCTCAGAATTCCTTTGCTGAGAAACAGGGTAGGAGCCCGAGTTGGATTTTATCCTGAAGACCGACAAACTTTACCATCTTATGTCAGTCTGCCCTCTAAGTACTTTGTTATTCTTAGTAATCATGGCGTAAATTCCTCATTTGAAGACAATGTGGTTTTAGGGAAGCTGTGATCAAAGAGACATGCCTGGGGGGGGGGGAGACTGCATCATAACATGGATTCCTTATGACAGCTGGGGGAAAAAAAACAAGATAGGAAATAGGTAGTCACACATCTGTCTGGTTCAGTCTGTCAGTGGAGACTTAGATAAGACTGTCCTTTTCAAAGGTCTTCACAAACTCTGAATGTACCTGTCATGAAATAAAGGTGTTACTTGAAAACCTGTTTTGGTTAAGCAGAGAAGAGAGTTCATTAACATCTCCTTTTGTCATTTGTCCTCACTTCATATTAATAATTCATAGGCTGTCAGAGTTCCTTTTGCTAGGCCGTTCTGTATGTGCGTTGTAAGTACCACTGCACTTGTCACCTCTTCCTGATGGCAACCAAGGGTTTTATTTCTATTTTTCATTATGCAGGGGGGAAAAAATTCCTCGTGCCCAGGAGAGAGATAGGTTACTTCAAGTATGGTGGAAACGGTGACAGATGGGGTCAAGGTCATTTCACTTTGTTTTGTGCTTAGAATTCCATATTGTGGTATTCTTTTATTTTTATGTTATTGATATCTGTAAAGATACTTGTTTTGTGCCTTTGTGAAATTACTTAAACATACAAATCAGTCAGTTGACACCTTGCAGACACTCCTTATCAAAATTCTCCAGGCAGTTCTCCTTCTTTGACTTCTGAGTAATTATAAGATCGAGCCCACCTTTACCTGAACTTTGGTCTATTTTGAGCTTTTTCAAAGAGGTCAATATTTGTTTACTAAACAGAAGTTGTCCTTTGCATTCAATAAATGCCTAGAGCTGCCACAAACATTGCTGTGTATAAATGTTCAAGGCAGCACTCACGTAGATATAAATGGGTGTCTCTCCCTGGCACTTGCCCCCCCCCCCCCCACCACCACTTCTGTTTACTGAGCTTTGTAGAGGTTGCTCTGCAGCAATAGAACTCACATAGCAACTTGTGCCCAGAGCACTCTGGGACTGGTCTGCATGGCGTCAGCTGGGGAATAGCTGCTGGAGTACTCATTAGCAGCCTTCGCTCACCCAGTACCTTTTCTCCTGCTATGTCCTGTCTTTAGACAGAAGCTTATGTTTTCACTGAGGATCAATGGACCTTCTGTGGGACACCAAGATTCTCATTTATTCTTCCTAAGTACCTTTATCTAGCTTTTCACATGTTCTACTGAAGGTATTTTCTATGTTTTGCAATGCGATCTTCTTACTCCTGCATTTGTGCATTTGTGTATCTCTCTCTCTCTCTCCCTCTCTCCTTTACTATCTACCTAAGAATGAGGCACTGGACTATTTTTTTTCCATGGCTTATGCTTAATTTTGGATCAGCCTATAAATAGTCTTAACATGAAGAACACCACATGTAGCCTCTCAATTTCCCAGAATTATTCTCTACCTCACTGGTTGTGGCTTGGGTGAAATGATTATCCATGTCCATTGAGTTTAGATCTGGTGCCTTACATATCTGAGCTTAAAGGGGGTTTGTGTATCACTCACCAAATCCATTATCAGCTCTCTGGAGCTATAGCCACCTAGAAGGCAAGAATATCTGAATATATTACTAGTTTACTGTTTTTCAAAAAGTTCTTGGAATAAAACTGCATGAAAATCCTATCCTTAAAAAAAAAAAAGTTTTATGAATTGGTGAATCCCACTGTGGCAGGAGAGCACAAGAGAATATTCTGCTTGTTTGTGGTCAACGGGACCTGTGGTCAGATGAACAGCAAAAGCACAGCCAACTATACAGTCAGTTAACTTGTAAGACTGTAGCAGATTCTAGACTTTACAATTGTAACCAGCTCCATGAAAGTCTGAAGACATATGACATGTGTGTGCACACATAGAAACATTACTCTGTTTGAGTTTGACGTATATTTGATATGAGGAAATTTTCCATGTTAAGGAAAGAAAGGGGGGGAGATATTTTTTTCCTTTCCAGGAAGCACTGGTAAGGCCTGAAAATGATGCGCGAGCATGTGGAACAAATTCTACCATTAGCAATGGAAATGAGACAATAACAGGCCCCTTAGTGCATGCTATTTGCAAGGTTCCAAGTGGGAAAGGCTATTCATAGGAAGCAGCTATTGTGTGACTTGTGGAATTCAAACAGATGTCTTAGGATTGAGATTTTGGAAAGTCCTAAATGGGCCTTTAGAGTTCATAGGGTTGTTAAGTTCTTATCTCAAAAGAAGCAGGAGTCAGTGTGAAGAAATTTGACAAAGTCTGTCCATGTCCCACCATATTAATGCAGGAAAGGCTTCTTTTGAGTAGTGAAAAGGGAGTCTCTGTTGGTGTTAGTTTGTCATAAAATATCTCAAAGTCAACTGTAACTCAGACACACTCTTTGAAGGGACTCCCTTGTCCCATTCCCATGTTTCAAAGAAAAGCGCACCTGCATTTGCCTTAATGCCGTTGTCTCCATGATCATGTAGAAACATTTGGCAACATTATATGAGCCAAACCTTTTGAAAATAATAGACCTCAGAGGAATATGATTCTTTATTCCTTTGTCCAAATTCAAACTCGTAGGGAAGCAGACGAAACAGCGAAGCAGGTAGAAGGTTGGGAAGGTGCCAGGCACTGGAACGTCTTTCTAGAAAACAACTCAAAGGCACTTTGAAATAAAGCATCGTTCAGGTGTCAAAAGCTGCCAAAATGAAACACACATTGCAATTTTCACGGATGACTAATCTCAAGAAAAATAAGTTGGGGTACATCTTGATAGTAATCTAGATATAGTGGGAGAAGTCAGAAGACTAGCACACGGCATTTGAAGAGGCAGTGCACCTTGCCTCTTGGTAAAGGGCTGCATGAAATAAAGACAAACCGAGGCTTTCTGTGTCTGCAGCTGGCTTGGCTGAGAATGGTTCTGCTGGCTGATCCATATTCATGTGTCTTTGAGGGAAATCCAAACTGCAGCCCTCTTCCCAAGGCCCCAACACATTTCTGGTCCTCTCTATTGTCCCTCAACAACAGGACATGGATTTGGCGGTTTGAAAAGTTGGAAATCACTTTCAGTTTTTAGTTCTAGGCAGTATTAATATTAATCTCCTTCTAGACTTTGCTAATACACATTGCATAAAGAAAACACCTTTGACCATTTCTTAGTCACTTTCTCTTCTTTTTTTCTTTTTTTCTTGTTACAGGGAAAATGTAGGGGTTATTTTGTTTTTGTTTTTGTTTTTGTTTTTGTTTTTTTTTTAAGTTGAGGTAAAGTGGAAGCAAAGTAGGTAAATTTTACCTGGGGCAGAATGGAGCTGAGACAGGAAGCTGGAAACTACTATTGTTTCACATTAGGCGAAGGTGGGTGCCTTCTCCATAGGAATCTGCAGCAAATAATAGCACTAGAAGTGAGAGTAATCTGACCGGCATTCATGAGCTACTTTGATTACAAAGTTGTCTCTGTTGGAGAGAACACAGCCTTGGACCCACATGAAATGAGCTCTTGCCTTATCTCAATCCGCTAAAGACCTGGTCCTTCAGAGCAGAGGTGCTTCCTCCCTACCCTGTCATTACACATGGCAATCCCATCTCTGGAGAATTTCAGGACTTACACATTGCTAAGCAACAGAATGGCTCCCTATCCCCCAGAGCTAACCCGCGTCTTCAAGTCAGAATCACTTGCATTCAGGGAGATGGTATCAGACATTGCTGCACAGTGTCTGCCTTCATGTGATGGAGCATGCCTCCACAGTATTCAGCAGGGAGGATACATTTCAAATGCTTCAGAGGACTGTCTGCCTAATACTATTACTGAAATAGATTGTTTGTGACCATAGGTGTCAAGGGCTGGGACATTCTCTCTTAACACACATGTGACTGGACTAATATCCGGGCTGTCCCTATGCAACTTTCTCGGACACATCCTGCTTTTAGAAGCTGGCACAAACCTTAGAATCAGAATGAGTCTTTATTACCTCGAGAACCTGGAAGAGAGTAACAATTGATAGGTAGATACAGATTATAGAATATTTTAGATTGGTAATAAACAGTAGGAGAAAAGAGAACTGAAATTTTGGCGGAATTAGTAGCAGAGGTACTTTGTCTATGTTCAGTGACTGTGATTTTCAAATAATAGTTTAAAGAGTATTTAATTGTTTCTAAATTAAATAAACAAATTAAAAAAAAATAAAAGCATTTACAGGAACAAAGAAAACTCCACACAATCCAATCCAAATAATGTTTGTTTGTGTCTTGTACTGTTTTGTTAAGAAGGGGATATTGTTTTTAGACAGCAGGACTCCTTTAAGTATGTATGACCGATTTATAATGAGTACTCTCTTCTCTTGCAGGACAAGTTCCCTGGATGTGAGCTGAGTTACTAAGATAACGACTATTGGTCAAAAGACAAACTTGGTAAAACTCCAAGGACCTTGGAAGCATCCATCTCTCCTCACTTTATTTTAAATTTTTGGTGTGTGTGACTTCACCGAACATTCAAAACTGTTTCTTCAAAGGGTTTTGCAAAAACTCAGACTGTTTTCTAAAGCAGAAACACTGGCGTCCACAGCTGAAGCAATGGGCAGTGTGCGAACCAACCGCTACAGCATAGTCTCTTCGGAAGAAGATGGCATGAAGCTGGCCACCATGGCAGTGGCCAACGGCTTCGGGAATGGCAAGAGTAAAGTCCACACCCGGCAACAGTGCAGGAGCCGCTTTGTGAAGAAAGATGGGCACTGCAATGTTCAGTTCATCAATGTGGGTGAGAAGGGACAGAGGTACCTGGCAGACATCTTTACCACCTGTGTTGACATTCGTTGGCGATGGATGCTGGTTATCTTCTGCCTGGCATTTGTGCTCTCCTGGCTGTTCTTTGGCTGTGTGTTTTGGTTGATAGCTCTGCTCCATGGGGATCTGGATGCTTCTAAAGAGAGCAAAGCTTGTGTGTCTGAGGTCAACAGCTTCACGGCTGCCTTCCTCTTCTCCATTGAGACCCAGACAACCATAGGCTATGGTTTCAGATGTGTTACAGATGAGTGCCCCATTGCTGTCTTCATGGTGGTATTCCAGTCCATTGTAGGCTGCATCATTGATGCCTTCATCATTGGCGCAGTTATGGCAAAGATGGCGAAGCCAAAGAAAAGAAACGAGACTCTTGTTTTTAGTCACAATGCTGTGATTGCCATGAGGGATGGCAAACTATGCTTAATGTGGAGGGTGGGCAATCTTCGCAAAAGCCACCTTGTTGAAGCTCATGTCCGGGCACAGCTACTCAAATCTAGAATCACTTCAGAAGGGGAGTATATTCCCTTGGACCAAATAGATATCAATGTTGGCTTTGATAGTGGAATTGACCGTATATTTCTAGTGTCCCCTATCACTATTGTCCATGAAATAGATGAAGACAGCCCTTTATATGACTTGAGTAAGCAGGACATTGACAATGCAGACTTTGAAATTGTTGTCATACTGGAAGGCATGGTGGAGGCCACTGCCATGACGACACAATGCCGGAGTTCCTATCTGGCCAACGAAATTCTCTGGGGCCACCGGTATGAGCCAGTGCTCTTTGAAGAGAAACACTACTACAAAGTGGACTATTCAAGATTCCATAAGACTTATGAGGTACCTAACACTCCCCTTTGCAGCGCCAGAGACTTAGCAGAGAAGAAGTACATCCTCTCAAATGCGAATTCATTTTGCTATGAAAATGAAGTTGCCCTCACAAGCAAAGAGGAAGAGGACAGTGAAAATGGAGTCCCAGAGAGTACAAGCACAGACTCACCTCCTGGCATTGATCTTCACAACCAGGCAAGCGTACCTCTAGAGCCCAGACCCTTAAGGCGAGAATCGGAGATATGACTGGCTGATTCCGTCCTTGGAATATTTATGTTACTACACAGTCTGTTGTTGGTCAGAGGTCCGAGACAGTCACACAGACCATGGTACCGGTCAAGAGGTGGGTGAACGCAAGCAGCCACAAGAGACTAAGGCTAGCACAAAGGTTTCAAGAAAAGACTGGAAGCTGGATGACAGATGTAAAGTGCTTTGCAGGCCTCCGAGTGACCCTATGGCACATATCTGTTGTAGAATAAGTTGTGGGGTTTCAAATGTATTGTTTTGTGTTTTTACAAAACTTGAATATGCAGGCAAGCCTCAGTTTGGGTATTTAACTTACCTGGAATGCTTCTCTTTAGGGGAACAAGAATGATTTTAATGGCATAACACAGGCAAGACTCTGCCTTAATTTTTTGAAAAGCTGCTAACTACATGAACACAAACTGTATTTTTGTTGCAGTGTAGTTTATCTTTTACATAATCTTAAAAAGTCAGTGTTGAACATTGTTGAAGGCATACAGTGTGCTTCAAAGTGTCAAGTATTTGGCTATTAACTGCCAAAATGAGAGCCTAATGCTCTGAGGCCAGTAATTTGTTTGCTAAAAATTGATCTCTCTCTCTCTCTCTCTCTCTCTCTCTCTCTCTCTCTCTCTCTCTCCACTTTCTTGTTACATAAGGGCATTATGTAACACTAGCCAAATGGTAGCCTCTGGGTTTTATACTTTTCCTTTCCATGACACTATTAAGTTATCTCAAATTTTCAGTTAGCCTACCTAAAATAAATACCAAAGAAAATGAACAGTTTTTTTTGTTTTCCTTTTTCTTTTCTTTCTTTTTTTTTTTTTGCACAGTGGAGTTTATATTAAAAAGGAAACAAAGCCCCATGGGTTGTCTGGAAAATCCAGACACATTAACTTTGAACCTCAGCAAGATGTTGAATAGCCTATATAGCCTGTTCATTTTGTACCTTATTTTGAAAAAAGAGCATCAAAGTCGAAAAATGTGTGTTTTCAATTCTGCTCTTTTGTTTTGCCTTCTTATTTGAAGGGGAAGGGATCATGGGTCACACCTATAGACACACTATACTAAAGGCTTTCTTTCCCTGATAGGTAGTGTTGATCAGGCTAATGTATTCAAAGGAGAGAGACGGGAGACAAAGAGAGAGATAGAAGAGAGAGAAAGAAAGAGAGAGAGAAAGAGAGAGAGGAAGAGTGAGAGACTCACTCAACCTTTCTGAGCTTTCCTCTCTCTGCACATTCCAAAGTTTATTCCATAAGATCAGATTTTGCTTGAACTTTGTTGGTAACCCTGACATCCTCCAACCAGAGCATTTCAACTTTTGCAGCTGAATCATGGCCTTGACTGTCAGGTCATTTCTAGCTTGGTGTCACATTAGGGAAGATATCTGGCCTCCAGGCTTGTCCTTCTGAGGCCATCTGCAGAGAGACAACAGGACTGAATATGCTAAAGTAGAGGACTTGTGTGTGTGTGTGTGTGTGTGTGTGTGTGTGTGTGTCTGCCACTTCAATGCAAAAATCTACTTTAAGGGAGAGGAAAGCTGCCTCTTCAAAGGCAGAGGGTAGGAGAGGATGTCTCAGTATTTTAGGAGTTTAGTGAGCCGTATAAACACACAAGCTAATGAGTTAAGAGTCTAAAGGGTTATTTCTCTTTGTGTACACACTCATGACTAATATGAGCTGGTCATTGTCTCTTGTAAAGTCCTAAAGCAGGTTACCAAGGACATATTCTTTTCCAGAACCCTCTTCTGCCTTGTCACCTGCCTTGGTGAAAACTTCTCTCCCCAAGCTCACTCTAGCCCAATAATGCAATTCTTCCTTTCTTTCTTTCTTTTGGTTTTAAAGTCCCCTACTTGTGGATTCCAGGGCTGCTAAGTTTGCTTTTTAGTTGGAGTCTGAAAATCAACTCTCTGACGGTATTATACCCTAATATGCCATTAAAACTCAGCTTGTTCTAGAATCATGTATTTGGTCTCTGTTGATGTGTGTGCTGGTCTGTGGCTTGTGAGCTGCCGAATCCGAATACAGTGCCTGTAAAACCAGGAAAGCTTCTGCTGTTTTCAACTGTCTGAAGTCAACTGTTTGAAAACGGTGGGTGTTAGTCTCATTGAAATCAAGAGGGAGGTGTTGAGAAAGGGGTTGTAATTGTACATCTATATTTAAAGGCAGGGTTGGGAGGTTGCTTGAAGAGTTGGAGGGGTCGATTGAAGATAACAGGAACTGGCTTTCCACAGTGTGAGGCCATGGAGTGCTTCAGATGCTGCTATTAAGGTGATGTGAAAAGGAAAATAATCAAACCAAAGAGTATTCAGTGGAATGTAAATCAAATGAAGATGCAGTGGAGGATAGGGGTGACCACCTGGAGGTTTCTCCAAACACACAGTGCTACCACTTAAAAAAAAAAAGACTTGAGTTATTTGAAAAGGGGTGGGTACAGGGTCAAGAAAAGAGGGAGGGGAATCTTTCAACTTATTTCTTAAAAAAAAAAAGCATCTAAATTTTCTGGTGCATAGGTTTGTTTTTTCGGTTTTCTTTTTGTTTGTTTGGTTTTTTGTTTTAGTTTTTCAGAAACTTTTGCAGAAGCTACATTTTTAAAGTGTACATTTTATAAAGTTTATCAGATATTTTCATATTTAAAGCCAAATGTAAATAGGAATCTGTAAAGGAAAAAATACCGTAGGAAATACGATTACAGCAGTGATTCTGAGAGCTAGCACCCATTATGCTACCGGTTAGCATGGTTTTAGCAGATATTACCAGCCTTTGGAGGTTTGTTTTGGTATGTTCTTCTGTTATTTATTTCAGCATGGACTGTTTTTTTGAGAGCTTTTTGTAGTTATTAGCAGTTTAATAGTTACAAGCTTTAAATGGCATTTTGTTTCGTTTTGTTTTGTTTTCCAAGAGCCAAGACATAGGTAATGCACGGCATTTCTCCCTGCATTTTTACCTTCAGATTATCTGTCTTTATTGACCGGGCCTCCAGAACTAGTGCATACACCTGCCACTAGTATGCAGATGGAGAGACTCACCTCGAACATCTGGGATCCATTCCCAGATGCCCGTTGCTTCTCTGCTGCGAGCAAATCCCTCTAGGATGTATTCCCTTTTAAAGAATGTTTGCCCGTATCTGGATGGGCATTATATATATATATATTTTTTGGAGGGGGGAGGCATAGATTCCTGGTTATTCTATTTTTAAATAAAAGGTAGACAAAGTGAACTCTATTTTGACTATTGAGAAAGGAATAGTTTTCTATCCCTCTAAGAGTATACTTGAATTAGACATTTTTAGAATGTCATATAGCACTGTAGTAATTTCCAAATCCCTAGAGAAAGTTTGATTCCGTTCTCCTTTTGTTAATGCATTATTTGTTGTCTTTCACTTCTTTTCTCCCTGTTTACTCCCTCCTTAAATCTTGCTGTGTGTCTGATGACTCTGGTTCCCTAAAGATGTTCCACTTGCAGATAAAAAGCATCAGCTTTTATCTTATAATCTGCCACCCCCCAAAAAAGCAAACAGCCCTTCCTAAGGGGTGGCTTAATCTCCCCATCACACTGTTTAATGATGTTAAGGTGGAAGTATAAAAGTGTTGCATTATTACATCCCCTCCCACAACCTTTAGTAGTTTCTTTCCTAGGAATGTTAGGTTTCAGCTCTGGGCTCTGGCGAGTTGAACAATCCTAGGCTTTGACAATCATGATAGCTATTATTTTCCCATTTGCAATCTTTTTTTTTTTTTTCGTATCTAAAGTCTTCCTATTGTACTGCACAAACCATGGGTTGTACATATTTTTTATACATTATGTCTTATTTTATTATTTCTAAATAAAAATTAAAAATTGAAAATGAAATTTGTGGAAGTTTCATTGAACTTCTTGTATGATTACTGTAGAAATATCAGAATTAATATTCTCAGACAATGGGGCAAAAACTCCAGTTACTGGAATGAATAGAGCCATAGAATTTGCCTGAACACACAGGTGAAGGGGACTGGCAGATTAGTTTAATCCAAGTTAGAGGAAATCAAGCTTGCATTTTAGTTTGAGACAGAACAGCTTAGAGGATAGAAAAAAAAAAGCAAACAAAATAAAACTAAAAATTGGTTTGTATTTTGATTACTAATTTAACAGTAATCATTTTTGTTGACCCTTGGCGGTAAGTAGATTCTTACGTGTGTCATTTATTTTTACTTTCTAACCTTTTAAAAAATCTTAAGGCAGTATCTCATGTAGCTCAGATTGGCCTCTGAATTAGAGATGTGGTCAAAATGACCTTGAACTTCTGATTTTCCTGCATCTATCCCCAGTCATGAGATTCCAGCTTATTTGGTGCCTAGGATAGAGCCTTGGGGGCTTTGTGCATGCTAGGCAAATACATCAATAACCAAGCTACATCACCACTCTATTTCATCTCATTCCCACCCAAAACAAAATCAAGGTATTGTTGTTATGTTTAGTATAGGACTACGAAGACAGATGCAGTAACCATTGAGGGAAAATGTTTTGACTTCCTGGCCCTGAGGCTTTTGTCTTAAGTCAACAATATACCCTTACAATCCAAAAGTAGTGCAGTCACACAGACTACAGGAGCATAAATAAGCTAGTGTGTTTGAGTAAAAAATATGAGTGAAGAGTAGAGAAAGTCGTCCATATTTGGCTGGTTGTCAATTCTTTGACAAAGAAAATTAGGATGAGTTTTAATGTTAAGTAACCACTGAATAGTATTTGATTCAAGCTTGATCTGCTTCCCACTACATTGCTTATTATAACAGAATACAGCATTACCAACCCTAGATGGTCTCTGAGAAAAAAGGCCATTTTTTTCTAACAAGTCACCAACAAACTGTTTTCGAATGAAAACAGAAGAGAGACACTCCTATTCCTAAATATGCACTCCCTGCTACTTCTTTTACTCAGAGAACCATTTCAAATGTGGTTCTAAGTTCTTGACAAATATTAAATGCTTTCATCTTAATGGGAAAATTCTGTGGCTCCTATTAGATCCTGACTTGAGAAATGAAGTAACCAAGGCCCGGAGAAGCACTTTGTAGGAGTTCTTAACCAGAAGGCCAAGGAAGGATGCGGAGGATAGATGCTCTAAAAGTAGAAGGTGTTGGAGCCGAGACTTCTTGTCCTTTGTGACCTGGATATCCTGGGGCAAGGGGTAGAATCACTGCATGCAAACACCAATCTGTGATCTGTGTATATTTCAATCTTCAAATTCACTTCAGCTAGCTTCACCTAGCTCAGGCTTTCTCGAGACAAAACCACAAAGTTCTGTCACTCACTAGACTGCAGGTACCTAACTGCTTCATACACTTCTGCTTTCCCCATGCTGTGGGCAGCCAGACCGTAACAGCACTCCTGTGGTTCAGAGGAGAAAGAAGAACATGCCATGATAGAGTCAGGATGCATGCAATAAAGGCCCCCAGCCTTGTTTCTATTCATTCGTTTCCACACACATATATGTATATCTTTGTATGTATTTGGATATTCAACACAATAATATCCATCAATAAACTTCTGAGTAGAATTTCAGAAAGCATTTGTTGATCACATGATCCTTAGAGTAGCAAACACTCAAGTCTTCCATGTTCTAGCCTTTGCAGCTCCTTGAATAATATTCATGGAGAAATAAATGTATTTGATTCTACAAGATAACATTTGAGAGCTATAGAAATTAATCAAATCAATTGGATTTGTTTTTATAAAGCTAAACACACCTACACATACACAGGGAACACCTGACCCACAAATCAAGAGTCTGTGACACATGATTTGAGATCTCTCTAATGGTCTTCTCACATGACCCCAGTGAGCCTAGAAATCCCATGACTCAAAGGTTTGTCTGAGGTTTGTCCTTAGTGACTTTTTCAAAATCAGTTTGCATCCCTTTAAGACAAAGTGACTAAAATGTCAGAGAATCTAGCTATGAAATAATGTAACTGGTCCCCAAGGTGCTGGCCTTTCAGAGTTAAGGTGGGAAGAGTTCAGTGAAAACTGGGAGCAGGGAGTTATGCTGCTTGGAAGCTGGAAAAGTAAGATTACTGGTGAGGAATGGGGCCAGTTAAGGATAATATAGAAGGTAGGAGATTAAGCTAGGTTAGCCAGCTCCAGCACGGGAGAGTTACCAAATCCAAGGATAATAATGATGAATAATTATACATAAATGGCTCTATCCAAGTAAGGAAAATATGTAGCCTCAGGGATATTTATTGTTTAGAGGAATGATTTCCTTAAGTTATAATTCTCTCTCTCGTTTAAAATAATGATATACATTATTTAACATTTCCTTGGGTTATTGAAGCTAATGTGTGTCTTTCTTCATAGAGGCATCTAATCTTCTACATGTTTTATTTACTTATTACCTGTGCTTTTGTTCAGTGACAGATGTCACAGTGCAATTCAGGTTCTGCCTCTCATCTTTTGTATTAACAGATGAGGATACTATGCTGTACAGATATTATAAACTTCTTTGCATATCACAGAGGCTATTGATGATCAAACAGTTCTGTCAGACTAGCAACAATTCCATGCAAGTCAAGGGGACCAGGTAAAACATAAAATACTTGGTTCAAGCAAGGAGTTTGTGATGTTTCTACTTACCTCAGAAATCTTTGAGTTCCTTTCTTCCGCATCCCTTCTCATCACCATCTTGCTCCTTCTTCTTCCTTTAAGGTACCGGCGACTGAACCCAGAGTCTTGTTCAGTAAATCACTGAACTAAATTCCATCCCTATTTATCATTTTAGTTTTGAGACAGGCTTTTGCTGGGTTACTCAGGTTGGACTTGAATTTATATTCTTTCTGTTTCAATCTTGAGAGTAGCTGGGATCACAGACGTATACAACTAGGCTTGGGATCAAAGCTACTTCTCATCTCATGTTTGTGCTTCTATTCTGAGAACTTGAGATTGCTCAGAAGTTTGACTTCTAGAAAGTTCCATTGAACCCACCCAAAAGAAGGAGTAACTGTATAGTTTTGGGTATTTAAAGTTGTCTACGTTATATTTGATTTCAACAGATTATCATTTGGGAAATGGTCAATATGAATGTTTGCTTTTAAAACTAGGAAATGTAACTGAGCTTAGAAATAAAAAGTATACATAATAATTATTCAGAAATTACTACCTATTGGGTCTCAGATAGAGAGTTTAAAAGCTCTTACCATCCATATTTAGAAACATTTATTTGGAAGTAAAGGGATTTTTTAAGGGTTATCACACCCTGAATTTGAGAATTTATGCAATATCTTACTTGGGATAAATTTTTTTTCCCAGAGAACATTTTAAATATAAGTGCTAATTTAAAAATAACTGCGTGTTAAATTTTACTATTATGTAAAAAAATTAAGAACTTGGTTGGAATGACAAAAGTTGAAAGGTAAGATGACAATTGCTGAGCTAGGGAGATGGTTCAGTGGGTAAAAGCATGAGAACATGAGTTCTAATCCCAAGAACCCATAGAAAAGACAAACATTTAACATGAAATTTTTATTGATCACTGAATTTCTAAAGAGATGTGGGAAATGGAAACATGATAACCCTTCAAAATTTTCAGATGGGCTAGCCTCTTATAAACAGTGCAGTTACAAACAACAAAATAGTCACTGTCTCAAACAAGGTGGGAGGTGAGGATGAATAGCAAAGGTTGTCCTCTGATTTTGACACACACACACACACACACACACACACACACACACACACACACACAATATATATATATATATATATATATATATATATATATATATATATTGTAATTCTCAACCTAAATTGTTCATGGTCAGATTTCAAGTATTTGAAGGAATATGTTCCCATGGATCTATTCTTACCTTTCTTCATTCTAAGGTGCATTCAGATCCTAGATTCTGCTGTGATCACCTCTGACCCTGGTCCCCAGGGGGAGGGGCAATTGACCTTCCTTGAGTAAACATGTGGGTCCATATTTGTATAAAAAACAAATAAATCAGTTGTTCAATTTTATAAATTTTGTTTGCCTTTTGTTTGTCACATTTTTTCTGAGACAATTCTTTATCTGATGTCTCAGCTAGTCATTTTTATTTTATTCATGTGATACAGCAAAAAGAATCTCACTAAATAGTATGTAGGAGTGTTTTAGAATGCATAGTTAGCTCCATCAAACAGCTATTTATAAAAATATATTATTTACCAATAGAGCCATTTCAAAGGCAAGTTCATACACACCCTGAACAACACACTTCTGGCAAAAGCCCTCTCAGAGGGCAACCATTTGTAATCAGGCAAGGAAAGGTTTAATAAGTATGTCAAAGGTTTCCTTTAGTCCTATTGTACATTTTTGCTGGTGGCCATGAGATCCTCGCAAGTACTACTTTTTCCTCTTCCAGAAGCAGCCAAAATTTGTAACTAGCATCACTTGAGTACCCTCACAGTCAATGAGGCAGATGAATAAGATGCCCCGAGTTGCCATAGAAACTAGAAACAGCATCAAAGCACCTTCTCCTGCATGCTCTTTAATTTCATCTGAGTGACTATGTTCAAGAACCAAAAATAAAAAGTGCACAAAGATGTAATTATATAAAAAGCTGTGTTCAATTATAAATACAGTATGTACTTTTGCCTCTCTGTCTATAGCTCACTCGCTTCTTCTTCCCATTTGAAGTCATTTGACCTATCCAAGAGAGAGTCTCCATTTTCTATTTAACTTAAGTAAGGCACAGATTTGCCAACATAAGAGAACAAGACTTTTTTTTCTCTCATTCCCACCTTTGCCTAGCTCACACGTGACATCTGCCTGTTGGTGTTTTTGATCATTGGGTTCCTTTACAATGAATACTCATGCTGGGCCATGTGGGTTTACCTGGAGCTCCTGA